ATTGAGTTAAATAAATGTCTCCCTTTTTTCAAGATTCTTCCCTGCGCCTGCTTAATTTTAAATCGAGAGCAGTACAATAATAACCCAAGAACATCACACCCCTAGATTTCAGCCACCTCTCCCCAGAGGATTTGTGTCTCCTTTTTTGAAAGTGTGCGCTATTTTTTGGTTTCTACTGATTTCTCTTTCTTACTTGTCATCACACCTTGCTTTCTGTGAGATATAAGCAATTGGAGCCTTTACATTTAAAGTCTCTTTTTAGAGCATGAACTCCATGATAAGGCTCCCAGGAGACCTCGGACAGAAAAGAAATAATTTCAGGGAGTTACACTTCAAGCTCCACCAAAGCAAAGGCGTACGGTCACCTCCAGTGACTAAATGGTTCCATTCATTCATTCATTGATTCATTCATTCAATAAAAATTCACTGAGCACATACTATGTGCCAGGCAATATTCTGGGCACTGGCAATATGGTATTGACTTGGTTCATTGAAGCCCAAATTAACATGCCAATAAGTATGTGCTCAAATGTATACCCCTTCTTGGACTCTTGCTTCAACTCTGGACCCACATATACAACTATCTATTTAACATCTCCCATTGGATGGCCTATTGGACCCCATAACTGTTCCTTCTCCATCTCAGTAAAGGGCAACTCCTTTCATGGGCTCAGGTCAAAGTATGCAGAGTCATTCTTGACTCCTTCTTTTCTCTCATACTCTAAATCTAACCCACCAGCAAGTCCCATCTCTTTTATCATGAAAAATATCCAGAATTTGGCTACTTTTCACCATCTCAGCCACTACCCACACTGGTCCTAACTGCCATCATCTCTCACCTGGATCACTGCACTAACCTCATGACTGGGCTCCCTGTGTTCACCCTGTACCCTCTAGAGTCTATGCTAAGGTCTAAAACTCAAGTGATCACTATAAGACATAAACCAGGTAATGGCAACCTATGCTCAAAACTCTCCACTGGCTTCCTATAAAAGCCAACATCCATACAAGGCCCTACCAGACCCTGTATTACCTAGCTCCCTGGCAATTGTCTGATCGCATCTTCCACTACCATACTCCCCCTCTCCCAGTTGCTCCTGCATGAGTTTCCTTGCTGTTCTCAGAACATGCCAGTCCTCTGTCACCTCAGGGCCTTTGTACTTACTTCCTCTGCTTGGAAGGGCCTTTCCCCCAGATATGTATTATATAAAATGCTCACCTCCAACTCTACCCTAGCTCCCTACCCCCACTCAACCAGGCCCCTCCCCATCTTCTCTCCCCTTCTTGATGCTCTTTCATCCCCTCACATTACACATGTACTTATTTACTTACATATTATTGGTCTCCCCCAACTAAAATAAATGCTTCATGAGGATGGATCATGTTATTTTTTTACTGCTGTCTTCCCTGCCTATAATATCCCTGGCACATTGAGAAGAACATTCAATAAATATATGGTGAATGAATGAATATCTAAACATATATATGTCTAAAGTAGACCAGTGATGGAAACACAGTAAAGGAAGAAAAAAACCAAGTTGCAGGCATTGTCCACGCAAGCAGAGCCGGGGTGGGGAAGAAACCTTAGCCAAGGGGACTTTAAATATCCAGGTCCCTATGGTAGAGATTGCAAAAATGTCCCCAGTTCTTCCTCTCCCTGAATCCATGTTCTTTGTAATGTGGTCATGTAGCTCCTCCTATCAATAAGTGGAGTGTAGCCCTGGCCAGTGTGGCTCAGGGGATAGAGTATCGGTCTGTGCATGAAAGTGTCACAGGTTCGATTCCTGGTTAAGGGCATGTACCTGGGTTGCAAGTTTGAACCCAGGCCCCAGTTGGGGCACATGCAGGAGGCAACCAATTGATGTGTCTCTCTCACATCAATGTTTCTCTCTCTCTCTCTCTCTCTCTCCCTCCCCACCCCTTCGACTCTCTCTAAAAGTCAATGGAAAAAATATCCTCAGGTGAGGATTAACAACAACAACAACAACAAAGAAGTGGAGTGTCCTCCCTAATCCTTCACCCTGGGCGGGCCTTGTGACTTACTTTTGTCAACAGACAAAGATGAAGTGACAGTGTGCCAGTTATAAGCTTGGGTCTCAAGAGGCCATGCAAGTGTCCATTGTCTCTCGGACTCCTGACCTTCCCTGTGAACATGCTGGGCTCACCTGGTGGAGGATGAGGGACCACACAGAACAGTCAAGTCACCCAGTTGAGGTCCATCCTAAAGCAGCCAGCCCTCGGCCACACCATCAGCAGCCCGAAATCGCATGAGCAAACCCAGCTGAGATCAACCAAGCACAACCCAGATGTGTAGAACGGGCCAGCCAACCCGTACACGTGTGAGGAAATAATAAATGGTTGCTGTCTTAAGCCACTGAGTGTTGGGGTGTTCTGCAGTCCCAGTAGCAAGATCATCCCTAACGTGTGAGATCGGTCCTTAGAGTAGGCATCTACACTCTGTGCTCTGAGCACAAGTTCATCAAGGAAACTTTCTCCTTGTGATTGAGTTCTCATGAAGGGAAGTCTGCCGGAGGAAGACACGCCAGCTATGCCACGCAATGTCTCAGCCACTGCAAATCAATAGACTGGCATGCAGGTGAGCAAGGTGACTGCCATGTGACCCAGAGACACAGATCAGGTTTCTAAAGCAGCAAGACGAAAAGCAAGACCTTGGATGGGGTAAATTCACAGAGGTAAACATCACCTGAGGTGACTTAGGGGATACTCAGCCAGCCACCCTGACCATGACCCAGCCTCGCCAAGTCCTATTTCTCAGAAACTTTGACAAAGTTCTCCAGCATTTGCTCCTATTTCTGTCCATGAGACATTCTGCAGTAGCCCTGCAGCACCAGGGACGCAGGATCTATTCTGTGGGATGGACATTTCAAATCCCAAAACCGTGCTCTGTGGAGGAACAAAACCTCAAAGGGGCAGAGCAGGGAACGAACCTTAATAGACGCTTCAAATACATTCATCATATAATATTATGGAAATGCATTCCCTGGCACACCAAAGGTCTGTGCATTTTCAGTTGATTCCAACACCTTTCCACAACCACAGAAATTATTATTATTCTCAAAGAAAAAAGAATCATAAATAGCAAGAATAATACCTGCAAGATTATTCAATAAAGGTGACCCTTTCTTTCATCGTGGGGGTAAAAACACAAACATATACCACAAAGGTGCAAATGCCCAGAATGCTCTTCTCAGACGTCTGCCGGGATCGCTCCCCCATTTCCCCAAGGGGCTGGTCAAATACCACTTATCAGCAAAGCCTACCCTGATCAAGCTACATAAGAATAACAATCCTTTTGCTGCCCTGTGGCAACAATCCCAATTCCTTTTACCTTACTTTATTTCTCTCAATTACAATGTATCATCGGCTGATACACTTTGTACTTACTTATTTGTCCATTGTCTTCCACAAACACCCACACATACACACACTTATTTGTCTATTCTCTTAAAGACACACACACACACACACAGGTAAGCTCTTTGAGGGGCTTTATCTAATTCAGTTGTGTGTTCTCCTCACACAGGGCAGTGTGTACCTAACACACAGTAGGTACTCAATGAATGAACACTGCCACTTTTTGAACACCTGCTTGTGCCAAGTAATTCATACGTGACAATCAGTTCACAATGAACAAATATCTTTAAGTGCCTACTATGTCATTATTACAACAACTTTATTGCTGTCTCCATTTTACAGATCAGGAAAGCAAAGCTCAAAGAGAGGCTAAGTAACTTTTCCAAGACACTCATCCAGGTCTGTCTGATCGTCAAGACCGACACCCCTTGCACTGCACCAGCCTGCTTTTTAAACACCTTAATGATGGTTTAGGTGACAAATGCATGTGATATGCATCTCTGGCAAACATGCATGACACGAGAGCTCTTCGTTTTATCATTTTTCATCGCCCACCACAGCTTTTGCCCAGGACGAAACATCCATGAGACCGGATTTTCATCTTCCAGAGAAGATCCCTACTGACAGCTTTAACTTTCCTTTATCCCACCCATTTGGAGACAAAGTCAGTTTTCCTTTTGAACTGGGCTGGACCCGAGGGGGAAGAAAGCAGAAGTTCCTCTGCTCTGAGACTTCCTCGGAATTTTCCAGAATCCCTGCTTTTGTGAATACTGCTTCAAAATATTTCTGGTCCTGGAACTTAGGAAAACAATCCACTTAAAAAAGAAATAAAATTAAAAATAGAAAAGCATAGCCCGACTGGCATTGGATGCATTTTTCTTTTGGTCTCAGCCTGTGCCTGGAGCATCTTGGGTCTGGTCAAATGCCAGCCTTCTGTGACCTGTATAGCTCTGACCATCCAATGGCAGTGATGTTGATGGGATGGCGGATGATATGGGTCACTCACAGACAAGGGACCGAGAGAGGGTCCCAGCCCCTACTGAAATCCATGCCATGTCTCACTGATGAGGGTTTCATTTTCAAAACAGCCACTGCCACAATTAATGCCTGCTTCCTCTCTGTTCACACCACTCTTTCCACACCTGCATTACTGAACTTCTCACACTTCATTATTGCAGGTGTTTTCCCCCCACCAGGTGTGAGCTGCTGAGAAGTTTGGCCTGTGTTTCCATCACCTCTGCATCCCCAAGGAGCGAGCCAGCCCCTGACATGGACCAGGTGCCCGGTGAGTATTTGCTGACTCAAGAAAGATGCAGAATGAGCCTGGCCTGTGTCTGCTGCATGGGCTGGAGCAAACAGGACAAGTCACCTCTTCTGAAAAGGGCAAGAAGCAGAGACAGAAGAGACCACTACAGACCAGAAGGATCGCTGAACTGGCAACAATGCCCAATTCTCCCCAATACACACACACCTCTCATCCCTCACCTGTCACTCCCTCAACCTCAAAACCACCCAGTTACCTCCCCAACAGGCTTTTCAAAACAAAACAAGAAAAAACAAAACCAAGCAGGCGTTCCCTAGCGCCCCACCCAACCCCCTCAGAGCCGCAAACACCAGTAAGTTACCTTTAAAGGGAATTAGCTTGCATCTGTGATTTCTAGTTCAAGTATCAGGTTGCAGCAGCCGCGCGGAACCCCGGGCAGCAGCGATATCTAACACGGGTCTGCGGAAGAAACGGCAGCTCGGCCCTCCTCCCTGGCTCAATGCATTCGCTCGCCCGTCCCTGCAGAACAAATCATGTTCTTTTCCTTGCGCTGAAATCCATCCACAGACAAATCCTCGGCGTCCCCAAGACCGCTTCTACTCCTGCGGGGGGCGCCCAGCACCTGCAGAAAGAAAGGCACTCACCAACCCCAACCCAGAGCCGCCAGGTGTAGCGTAGTGTTCATCTGCCCTTTGAGAACAAACCGGCAGCAACAACAAAAATGCATCTCGTAGGAACAGAACGGGAACAGAAAAGCGATGGCTTAGGGGAACGGAGTTATAAATACCAGAATAAGTTGCAAAACTAGGCATGGAGCGAACAGTTCCAACAGGGTGTTTCCAACAGCCCTTGGGGACACCATCGTCACAGAAGCGCGCGGACCCGGGCAGAGGGCAAGTCCTTGCTTTTGAAAGGTTCTCCCGTCTTTTGTGCCGTTTACCACCGACATTCAGGGGGACCGGCGTGGATTTTCAGCCCCCGCGGGCGAGCTGGGGAGCCCCCAAGTCCGCATCCCAGCGGGTCTGCACGCCCCGCACCTGAGCGACAAGCACCATTCCCTACCTGGGTGGGAAATCTGCGAGTGGCCGCCAGCAGCTGCGGACGGAGCAGCATCCGCCCCGAGATCCCGGCAGAAGCAGGAGGCAGCGGGTGGCACACCTGCAACGCGGCGCCCACGCCGCCCGCCCGCCCCTCCTTGGCGCAGAGCTGCAGCGAGCCCCAGCTACACCCAGCACGGAGGGCGGGAGGCTCCGAGGCTGGTGGGTCTCCTGCGCTTGGGGATCCGATGCCAGCGTGGGCATTAGCGGTATTCTAAATCCCCTTCGATTCCAGCGGAGGGTTTAGGGGTAGCTTGGTGGGAGCGGAGCCCACCAGGGTCCCAGGCTCTCTGGATTTGCAGACCAATGGATGTTGAACTTCTTATTCCTCGAGTTTCGAGAATTTGCCTAAGCAGCTGATTATGGTAGGCATCTCTCTTGGTCTCTCTATCCCGCCTGGGGCAAGAGGATCCCTACTCACCAACTCTGAACAAGGACACGTCAGAAGATAGGACTCAAATTCCTGGGAGGGAGAATCCTCTGATGACCCCATCCCCGAAGTACCTTAGATCATGGATGCAGTAAAATCGCTCTGTTTTTGTTACCACTTAAGGGAACTGAAAAGAAACCACTTGGGGAATGGAGGGAAGGAGGAAGACATAAAGGGCTTGATGCATGAAACAAAGCCTCCCACCTGTCTCCCTCATTCCAATGTCCCCACCCCAACCTACCCACCCACAGAAGAGACCAGCAAATTCAAATGAAAGGCTCTTTTTAGGAACAAAGCTCCTTCTAGGGGGCAGTGGGACGCAATGAAATGAAACTGGAAATTCAGAGATGAACTCAAACAACATGCCTTGGGTTCCCGGCCTCCTCCAGGTGTGGAACTGCATTCTTTTCCAATAGTGCTGAGATGGATCCGGGTCTGGGAAGATTCTTCTGTCTTCCTGACCCAGCACACCCACAATTACCATCATCATGTCCACCTCCTAGCTCCACAACAAGCACGTTGCTGGCCAGCTCCTCTGTCCCTTCCCAACTCCAGTCCCCATCATCTCTCATCCGGACCACCTGAAGGGCTTCAACTTCTCAGCTTCCTAGACTCATTTCTTAAAATGCCAATGTAATCTTGACTCCGTCCTGTCTAAAACCATGCACTGGCTTCGCATTGCCCTCGGAAAAGCCCAAACTCTCTCAACACATCTCATTTAATCGCCAAAGAGTGGGCCCTAGCTGAACTCCACAGTCTCTCGCCTCCATCACCATCTTTCCCCTGTGCTCCAAACTTTTTAATTACTTCCACTTGCCTCCCTCTCTCACGTCCAGGCCTTTGCATATATTGTTCCCAATATCTAGAATGTTCTCTTCCTCCCAATCTTTTTATCCCTGCCTAATGCCTAATGCTTCTCAGTTGTGCCCTCTCTTCCTCCAAGAAGTCTCCGCTCATCCCCATGATAACTGAGTTCTCTGTGTTCCATGCGCCTCGGGCCACCACTAATTCACTCTACCAACATGTGACCACTGGAGTTAGTTGCCTGATGTCTTCCTCACTAGAATGGAAGCATGTCTCTCTTATTTAACACGTGTGCACAGGGAGCACAACATATAGTTTCTGCTCAATACGCCTTAATACAGCCACCATCCAGATTAATATGTAGAACAGTTCTGTTCTCAGAGGTTTCTTTATTATTTCATTATTATTATTTTTTTAATCCTCACCCGAGGACATTTTTTTCATTTTTTTGTTCAGATAGAGCAGGAGGAAGAGAGAGAGAGAAAGAGAGAGAGAGAGAGAGAGAAACATCGACGCGAAAGGTACACATCGAGTGGCTGCCACCCGCACGACCCAACCAGGGCCGGGGACAAACTGCAACCGAGGTGTGTGCCCTTAGCGGGAACTGAACCCGGGTCTCTCTGGACCATAGGCAGACGCTCTAACCGCTGAGCCAAACCGGCCAGGGCTATCAGAGGTTTCTTTATGCTCAGGTGACACTCACTCAACCTCCAGGTGTAACAACTACACTCACATCTTTCAGCATCAGTTAGTATTGTTCTTGAACTATATGAACTATATATGAATGGAATCATACAGTATATATTCTTTTGTGTATGGTTTCTTTTACTTAAAATAGTATCTATGAGATCCATATTATTTCATATATCAGTAGTTAACTCTTTTTTATTACTATATAGTACTCCATTGCCTGAATATAACTATTTATCTCTTTCCTGGAGGTAGACATTAGTTGTCTCTAGTTTTTAGTTGTTATGAGTAAGACCACTGTGAATATTTGATGGACATATGCATTCTTTTCTTTTGAGTATGTAACTAGGAGCAGAATTGCTAGGTCATAGGGTAAGTGCATATTTGTTTTTAGCAGACACTAACAAAGTTACAGCCCCACCGGTGGTATTTGAAAATCCTAGCTGAAAAGAAAAACAACCCTGAAAAATCAACAATCCTTCTTTGATCCATATGAAAAGTGAGGCTACAGGGCAAACCATTACTCCCCACACTGGAAGGACAGTCAGGCAATCACAGAGACTCACACACCAGAGCAGAACCCAGGAGGGGAAACCCCAGGGGAACCAGTGCCAGGAAAACCTGAACTGTGATTGACCAGTTGCTGGAGGCTCGGTGCAGACAAGTCTGTGCGATACAAATTCCACGGGGAGCCAGCTATCAGGGGGCCCCCACATACTTATGTGAGTTTCTCCTTCAAGGGCTCAACCAGGTTCTCACGGGGAAGATGAGAAGAAAAATACCCTCATGCCCTTCAAGTGGAAGAGATGTGGCCTTTTTGAAATATGCCAGCGCTTTCTGCTCTTCCTATGAAAGCCTGCCCTCAGGAGAAACTGTTTTGTCAGAGCAAAATCATTTATAGAGGTTTTGTCAGAGCCTAACCAACCTCGGGAAAGGGAAAAATCCAACTCCTGCCCTCTCCAGTCTTCATCCCACTTCAAAGGGGGGGGATGAGAGGTACTTGTGAAGTTAATAGCCAAGGATCACAGACTCTCTAAGAAACCAAGACCTGACCTGTGAACAACAGAACGTTTCCCTCCCTCCACACCTCACCACCACATCTCTAAACGCCTCCTTCCTGCAGTTTCTTTTACCCAGTACATCATGTCCAGCTCCCAACAACAACAGAAACGTTAGAAGGCCTATTAAAAGGCAAAAGACACAGTTTGAAGGGACAGAATCACACACGTATATGGCAGGGTGTTGAAATGATCAGAGGGTGAATTGACAACAACTGTGATCAATATGCAATGGGCTCTAGTGGAAAAAGTAGGTAAACATTCAAAACCAGACGGATAATGTAAGCGGAGAGGCGGAAATTCTGAGAAAGAATCAAAAAGAAATAGCGGAAATCAAAAACACTGCAAATAGAAATGAAGAACGCCTTTGGTGGGCTGATTTGCACACTGGACATGGCTGGGGGGGGGGGGGGGGATCCCTGAGCTTGAAGATATATCAATAGAAATTTCCAAAACTTAAAAACAAGAGGGAGGAGGAGGAGGAGCAGAATATCCAAGAACTGTGGGACAACTACAAAAGGTATAACATGCAAGTACATAATGGGAATACCCAGAGAAGAGAGGAAGGAACAAGAAATACTCAAAGCAACAATGACTGAAAATGTTCCCAATGTCACCAAACCACAGACCCAGGAAGTTCAAAGAACAAGCAAGATAAATACAGGGAAAATATATATATATACATATATACATATATATCCATATATATACACACACATATATACATATACATATACATATATATGTGTGTATATATATATATATATATATATATATATATATATATATTTGGGCACGTGGACCCCGAGAAGACAAATTCATTTGACATAAACCTGCAGAAGGAATTTATCTGCTGAGATGGACTCCCCATGGTCAACCCAGAGCCCCAAATTTGTGAGTAGCTAGCAGCCATCTGCGTGCGCACAGGGGCTTCTCACGAACTCTGTCGACCCGGAAGCATCTCCAACTCAACTCAACTTCCGGTGCTTCCTCCGCTTTTTCACGCCATCTGAATCTTCCCCTTTCCGTAGAGATTGACGCCTATTTCGTCCAATCAGAACTGCTCCTTAACAACCAATCAGAACACGTAGCACTCACCAAGCTGGCACAATTCGAACCAATCAGAACGAGTTTGGGGACCTCATTTACATGAATCGCACCTCGTTGGGAACCTGAGCGGGAACTTTCTGCCATCAGACAGACGCCCCTTCCTCTCCGCGAAGCACCTCCAGTTTCTTTGTCCGCCTGGTGTGAACGCTGTTACCTGGACCAAGTCTCTCCTTTTCCCTCCAGTGCCTTTGGCAGGGAAGGGACAGAGATGGGCCATTGCAGGCTGGTAGGTGGCAGTTAAACAAGCAAGCAGACCTATTACTAAGGAGGACTGACCTAGGCGCCCCAAGAAAAGGAGCAGCTCCTGCATCGCCCA